CGGAAGTGAAATTTCACCTCCTTAGCAACGCGCGCGAGCGCGCGCATGAATCGGTTAATGGGCCCTTAAATAGAAACAGATTTTTAACCAATCAGCGTGCGTAATTTCTTAGGGCTGTTTTCTAAATATATATATAACAGGCTTCCAGTGAGGGCGGAGACAACATAGACCCACCTAGGCCCAGTGAAGCCCAGCCGAAAACAAAACTTACAAGGTCGATTGATAGCCATTCAGTTTATTTGATTTCTGTGCAGCCAACCACTATTTACCTCTTCATATCTTTTATATCTTTCTCCGCAGTTGAACTATATGATCTTTCATAACTTCCGACTTGCATTCTTCACCAACTACTGGTATAATACGAACTCACAACGTGACCAGCCCTCGATTGGCTTGATAGCTGAGCTGGTAGAACACTGCACCGTTGTCGCAGAGGTCATGGGTTCGAATCCCGTACAATCCTGATTTTTTTTTTTTTTTTCGAGCTTTAATTTTTCAGGTGCTTAAGCTGTGTAATAAAACCTTTCCCAGACCAAAATAAGTCCACCAAAATGCCTTTTAGGTATTTATCACAATTTTACGCTGTATGATTTTCCATTAATGGTGATTGAAAGCCATACAGTGTCTTACCATAAACCGTGGCTGATGTCAAGATACCCATCCTCTCCCATTTGAAATGTTCAATCAGATCCCTCATGGCGTCGTTCATTCTTAAATCAGACGGAGACATGCGCAGTAAGTACTTATAGCGCTCCAAATTGAAATAGAATTCTGGGTCTGTGGCAGAGGCGCTGATCTGAGGAATGTGGAACTTGGAACATAGCGAGTGCATGGCTTTTACAGCCGTTGAAGTCCTGGGACCGATGATTGCTATCACACCCTCGGAGATGAGTTGATTGGCTATATGAAACAAGCAATATACGTTATAATGCAGCCAGGAAAACTGCGCGATTTAAAGGACTGTTTATATGAAGATCATTAGTCCCTAACCGGCGAGTCACTCCCTATACTGAGGTACTCCTTGTGAGAGAAACTTCCATAGAATTCTTTATAAATAGCGGCGAACTAAGAAATCACAAAGTTGACTCAGGGACTAGATTGTTCACAGCCTCTCTATTTACGCACGCGAAAGAATCAAAATTGAAAGGAAGTGGATTAGAGTTTGACTTTGAGATATAGTGGAGGACCTAGGCTTTTGCCGATTGTTCTTGTAAAAACAGCATATTATGCACCCAGGAGTGCTCAGAATTTTTGGCTATAATGCCGATATTACGGTAGTTTGTCAAAATTATTCTTCCTACTAGGGCTTTCCAGAAGTTGCTCGGCAACTTTTTGGCAACTTTTTGCATTTCTAGCAACTTTTTTCGTCTCGAGCAACTTTATGCATTCTAAGCAATTTCTAGTTTTCTATCAATTCTGAGAAAACGGAGAAGCTCTTAGTGCTTAAAATTGGCCTTGCTTCCATATTTCACAATGTCTTAGTAGACAATTTATTAATTTATTAATTTTCAATTTTTAAAAAATTCAAAATGGTGGACGAAGATTCACACTCGACTGACTCGAGCGTTTCAGGTGAACAATTTTACAAGATTAATATTGATGCGTAGTCTTTACTCATACATTTTTTGTTTTAATCGAGGACAAAGTTAATTATTTAGCAACGCTGGTTACGCCGCAAAATTGCGTAAAAATGCTTCGAAATCTTACTTTTGTTCTACTTTTGCATCAGACCAAATAAAGGAAGAGAGCAACGATTTTTTTTTTTTTTTAGCAACTCTTGAGCAGCTTTCGGTACAAAAGGCAACTTTTGACTTTTTTAGCACATCAGTTTGAACAACTTTTTGAGAAATTGAGGGCAACCTTTTTAGGAAATCTCGAGCAACTTGTGGAAAGCCCTACTTCCTACCATCACAATTATGCTACTTGGCTTTAAAAGATAACGACAGAACAAGACGAATAAAGTCAAAGCAAGGAACAAACCCTCATCTAGTGACTACAGGTTAATTTTTAATAACTATCCAACAAGTCTCGTTACATGCCTTACATATCATGTGCAATAATTCTTCAGAATTAGCAAATATTCATATTATCTTACCTGTAATATCAATCACGATTCGTCAATGTGAGGGAATAAATTTCAATGTTGTTGTCTTTGGCACTTCAATGAAAAAAGATACTGACATTGATTGTACCGTTGTTGATTTAATCGTGCGGCAAAAGTACTGGTAACTACTAGTTTCTTAATTTATAAGTACCCACTGCGAAAATGGCAAGAAGTCTAATTCATATTTTTAACCGAACTTTCTAGAGCCTTCTTGGAGTCTATTTTGGAACGTAAAATACACATAAAGTAATTTATTCAACAACCTTTGGACGAGGTTGAACAAAAATCTAGATGCTGTCGTCATAGGTTAGGCAAGTTTGCATTGTAAACTGATGAACCTCAAAAAGCCTATGAAGCAAAAAATAATTGCTGCTTATGTGAAAGGCTTTCCAAAGTAAAGAAAAATGGTGTTTACTTTTTTGGAATATCTTCTTTCTTTTTAGAGATATTCCCGTTTTTGCACTATTCAAATAAGGAAAGTGATGAATGTCTGTACATACATTGGAGCAGTGTTCTTTAAACTTGGCACCAGAAATGTACATCACAAAAAAAACAAAGTGACAGTCATTGTGCCGTTGCCATGACAACAGTTATGCCACTGGTCTTGTTCTAATTAGGACTAAAATTCCCAGATTTTGTCTTGAACAAGGATCATCCACTCCCAACATTCTAATGAGGAGAGTTAAGACAATATACGAACCATGTGTGCTCCGAGCAAGACCCTCTGGCCCACTTTAAAGGGTTGCAAATAGGGATATTTGGTTTTTCACAGACAGAGACTGGAGCCAAGAGTATTGCCATGGCAACAACAGAATAGGTGTCATTCTGTTTCTTTTTTGATGTACTTAATTAAGGTGTTTTACGGTTAAAGAAGAACTTCTTATGACGTCATCACTTTCCTCATTTGGATAATACAAAAACGTAAATATCTCCAAAATGAAAAAGGATATTCGAAAAAGGAAAGCGCCATTCTTCTTAACTTGGAAAAGCCTTTCAAATCAGCAGCAAGTATGTTTACTTCATAAGAACTTTAAAGAAGCTGTTCGTATTTCTTTCTTGTCGATTTGTTATTGTTTGCTTAGCCAATAGATAACTGATATCGACGACTAACCAACGTCATCAATGACTAATCAATGTATTCAGTGACTGATGATGGGAGTTTGTTGGCCTATTGATTAACCATCGATTGCTTATCGATCATCGGTAATAATCAATGACTGATCAACTGATTACCCATAGATCGCCCATTGATTACTCATTGATTTCATTGATGTTATCGATTAGTTACATCTGGGCATATCTTGTCCCAGAGATAGAAAGGCAGCCTCGTTCAAGGGAAAAATCCTGGAAACGAGATTGTTAGGGAAGCAAAAGCAGCAGATCTTGTTAAGTGGGAACTCCCTCCCACCCCCCTTCCCCTAAAGATCCCATATATAGGAGTACCCCACGGGGTAACCGGAAACGTCCACAGAAAAACACTCCATGTTTAATACACGGAGACGCTCTTTGTGCACGTCACGCAATCTTTCCTCGCTATTTGGAAGGACCTCGTGACGAGCCAAAAGAACGCATTCGCAGGAGGTTGTCCCGATTTAGTTGTGTGATGGACCGATACTATTTTTTTTCAGACCGATATGATACCGAGTACGTTTCTGAGGGTCTCAATGGGGTTAGACGTTAGCTATAAAACGGGCCAGAAATTTAGATCGGAAACTTTTAACCATTAACCGTCAACACTGATTAACTGTCAAAAAATTAGACTAAATAAAGATTTTTTTGTGTCGTGTATTGTGGTAACTATGGTGGTCTACAAATCGTGTAATAATACCTTTTTCCATCCCGGAATGGTCCTAAGACCTTAAATATGTTTTACAGTAATCAAAATAAATTTCTGATTTTTTTAAACAATGGAATGTAATTTCTAAGAGTTCCCTTAACCCTAAAGAGAACCGTTAGCCGTAAAAAAGCGTCGTTAGCCGTAAGAGACCATCGATTCTGACTTTTTTCTTCGATCTTAATATCGATGTCGATATTGTGACGTCATCGAGTTACCTGGTTTGTCACGTGATCCGTACATGTTTTACCAAAGGCATGGTTGTCTCGCACTATAAATTTTGATTGTTGTTCAGTATTCTACTTGACAACACAGAAGACGTCAAACGTGGTAAGAACAAAAATGTGGCACAGGAGGCAACAGCCGAGTGTGTCACTAAATTTTGACGTCTTCTGTGATCAGTTACTGCACATGGAATCTATTTATTTTAAACAATTAAAAAATAATAAAATGTTAATACGTACGAGTTCGTAATATATATCCTACGGGTATATTACGAACTCACAGCGTGACGAAATCCCAGTTGGCTTGGTAGTTGAGTTGCAATTGGTAGAGCGCTGGACCGGGTCATGGGTTATAATCACGTTCAGGCTTGAATGTTGTTTAGGCTTCGACTGTTCAAGTTGTGTATATAACTGCGATGATCAACCATGTCTTCGTATCTTTCTACTCTTTCTCCACAGTTCAAATATGTGATCTTTCATATATTCACCTGTGTTCGCTAGTATAGTCAAGTATGTTGCTTCCTTTCATGGATATCATATTTATTCTCGTCCGGCGGCCTCGTCAGAGATTGCTGTAGCTTTACTTCGAGAAAGCTAAACGTTTGTGTAAAGACGTTCTTATGTTTCCTGCATCAATTCGATCGAACTTTTGTCTCTCGAGCTCGATATATAGGTTTAAGCCTCCTTTGTCCCCCCTGGTACCACATGAATCAAATACAGCTGCTTACGCGCAAGTCTGTTGACTGTTTTGCGTGTACATATCATTGTTTGGCTTTGTTCAGGCGAGACAATGGTTTCAATCCTCTAGGAGGATCTTAGTCATCGGTTGCAGACATTTAATTTTCTGTACGTCTGTAGTTGTTGGCGCAACTCGCATATATGTGAGAATGTTAATCAATTAAAGAAAATTTACAACATGTGAGAGAATGTTAGATATTCTGTGGCTAGGCACAATTGCAAACTTCTCGCGGTGTTTGCCTTTGAGGCGGATCGAAAATGCCTGGTTTCTGGTACATGCCACCCGCGCGGTTTGTGGAGAAAATGATCGATTAACCAATTAACAGACGGCAAATGTCTTACGTAATGTAGATTATTGTGACACCAAATCAGCGTACTTTCCAATCATTCCAGGTTAACCACCCGGAGTGCGGAGCACGATTAGCGACCCCGCTACACAGGCGTCCCTTTTTACGACTTTTTTTTAGGGGAGGGGGAGGATGTACACAGGCAAGGGATAATCTCTTGACACAGGGTACAACAACACAGACAAGCAAGTCAAAGGTTTTTAATTCATTAACTAAGACATATGTTTAATTAATAATTGTTTTTCCTTTTTTTCAAACCTTTTAGTTCTGATCAAGAACATAATCATCACTGCAGTAAATGCAAGGTCCACTGCACAAGACTGCACGCTTGCTTTGTTGCTGACCAGAAGAGTGCAGGCTCAGAAGGAGACAAAGTGTGACCAAGTCGCGTGCGGTATCGATCGCCTGAATAGCGGTATTTTCCGAACCGATCTCGGCATCGAATATTTGGTATCGTTATCGGCCCATCTTTAGCACTGATTTGCACAAATAATCATGACAAGTTCTCCTGTCTTTCAAGTAACAGAAGGCGACTGGACATCTGAGGAATTCGTTGACGTTTTGGGCCTGAAAATTTCTGCATTTTTCACTCCCGATCCTCAGTTGCTTTGCGACTTTATCACGAATTTTCAGACGAGACCGGATGACGTTTTCGTGGTCACATAACCCAAGTCAGGTGAGGCAATACTTGATCAAAAGGTGTGAAAACGTTCCTTAGAAGGGTTACTGCCCAGTGATACGTCAGGGACAAATAGCGTTAAACTCGGGGCATTGCGGAGGCTCAGGATTTAACAACGATAGAGGGCAACGCTTGTTCTGACGTGACAGAACATTTCTTTATAAAAATTGACAAGTT